GAATTGATCCCAGAAAAAAGCAGGGATCAGGGATGCTCCAGGCTGAAATGATCTTGGGAATTCACTGCTGGAAAGAGCAGGGCTGAGGTTGCTCCAGGCTGGAATGATCCTGGGAATTCACTCCTGGAAGGAGCAGGGCTTGATGTTGCTCCAGGCTGGAAGGAACCTGGGAATTCACTGCTGGAAGGAGCAGGGGTTGAGGCTGCTCCAGGCTGGAAGGAATCTGGGAATTCACTGCTGGAAAGGGCAGGGTTGAGGTTGCTCCAGGCTGGAATGATCCTGGGAATTCACTCCTGGAAAGAGCAGGGGCAGAGGCTGCTCCAGGCTGGAAGCAACCTGGGAATTCACTGCTGGAAAGGGCAGGGTTGAGGTTGCTCCAGGCTGGAATGACCCTGGGAATTCACTGCTGGAAGGGGCAGGGTTGAGGTTGCTCCAGGCTGGAATGATCCTGGGAATTCCCTCCCAGCCCGGGCAGGGGTCAGGGTGCTCGGGCCTGGCCGAGGTGCCCGGGATCGATGCCCAGCCCGTCCCCCCGGCCGCTCCGTGGGCAGCAGAGGCCGCGGGATCAATGTGGGATGAAGGAATTACGGCTGCGGACACGCGGCTTTACGGCTTCCTTCCCAACAAAGCCCGGCTTTGTGGACTCCCGGCGATTGCCAATTAATTCTGCTGCAGCCCGGGGCAGGGAAGAGCCCAGCTCCCTCGGGGCAGCCACCGACCCGGTTTTTCCCGGGTCTGGAACGCTGGAATTCCCAGGAATGACCAGCCTGGGAATCCTCAAGCTGCCAAGAGGGCAAGGAAAAGCAGGATGGATGGATTTGGGAGTTTTCCCTGCACTTTGCCACCTCCACCTTCTCCTCCCTCCCACTCATCCCACACCCCGAGCTGCTCCAGAGCTCCAGGAACGAGACAGGCGGAGACAATCCAGACCTTCCCAATTAAGCAATTTCTCCTGAATGAAGGGCCCTGCTCCTGCCGGCTCCGGGAACGGGATTTCCATCAATCCCGGCCTGATGAGCTCCTTGTCACTTAGCACCTCTAATGCTCGCCCCTAATGGCATCAGGGGCTCCTTGGCACGGCCCTAATGCAGTTTCCAGCTCCTGCTGGCGCCTGGGATTCGGCCGGAGCGGGAGAGCGAGCGCATCCCTAATCCGAGGAGACACTAATGGGAAAACGAGCTGTGTGGAGCTGTGTGGAGCCACGGGAAAAATGGGAGCGGCATCTCCAGGCCATGGGGAGCGTCCCCATCCCTCTTTTCAGCAGGTTTGTTCCCTGTTTTCCCTATCCTGGAGATCCCTGCTCCCCTCTTTCCATGCCCTGACCATCCAAGCTTTTTCCAGAGCAGTTTCCTCTGGGATCATCCTGGTTTTCTCCACCCCTGGTCTGTTCCCAATCCAAATTTCCCTTCCTCTCCATCCTGGAGATCCCCACACCCCTGTTTCCATGCCCAGACCATCCGAGCTTTTTCCAGAGCACTTTCCCTTGGGATCATCCTTGTTTTCTCCATTCCTGACCTGTTCCCAATCCAACTTTCCCATCCTGACCATCCTGGATATCCCCCCTTTCTCTTTCCATGCCCAGACCATCCAAGCCTTGCCAGCCCAGCTTTCCCTTGGGGTCATCCTGTTTTTCTCCACCCCTGGTCTGTTCCCAATCGAAATTTCCCTTCCTCTCCATCCTGGAGATCCCCCACTCTCTCTTTCCATGCCCAGGCCATCCCAGCCCTTTCCAGAGCAGTTTCCCCTGGGATCATCCTGTTTTTCTCCACAGGGCTGCACCCTGCTCTGTGCCAACTTCCCCATCCTTAATTCCCCTCCCTCTCCATCCCAGAGGTTCCCACACCCCTCATTCCTCATTCTGCCCCTCCAGACCATCTTTTCCTTGGGATTATCCCAGTTTTTCCCACAGGGCTGCATCCCTGCTCTGTTCCCAATCCTTTTTCCCCTTCCTCCCCATCCCAGAGATTCCCACTCTCTCATTCCTCTCTCTGCCCCTCCAGCCTTCCCAGCCCATCTTTCCTTTGAGATTCTCCCAGTTTTCTCCCCAGGGCTACATTCCTGGTCCATTCCCCATCCTCTCCATCCCAGACATGTCCTTATCCCACTTTCCTTGCTCTGCTCCCACCAGCCCAGCTTTTCCTTGGGACCATCCCATTTTCATCCCTGCTCTGCTCCCAGCCCAAATTTTCCCATCCCAGAGATCTCCAGGCCCCTTTTCCCCCACTTTTCCCCTCCAAATCTCCCCAGTTTTCCCTTGGGATGCTGCTCCTTGCCCTTCTCCATCCTGGGATGCAGTTCTGCCTCTCTCCACCCCCGGGAAGAGGCTCGGGAGCCCCTTGGAGTTCGGAACAAATCCGTGTTTTGATTATCTCTGCTCCTAAATGATTCATAATCAGCGTAATTCCATCAGGACAATAACTCCCAAATCAGATTAAATCTCTCCATTTGTCTGGAGCTTTGGGCTTTAAGCTCTTCCCTCCCCCTTTTCCATTGATTTTTTTCCCCAGCCCAGCCCCTTTCTGAGCCTTTCCAAGGGTTTTTCCAGTTGGAATTCTCCAGGCCAGGTGCCCTTTTCCACTCTAAACCCCACCCAGGTGGGTGGGACAGGCAGGGGATGAGATTCCAGCACCAGAATTCCCAAAATTTCCCCCAGTCCCTGCAAAAACTTGATTGGTGCCATTCCAAACAATCCCTAGCTGCCCACTGCAAATCCTACAGGACTGGGAAGTTTGGGAAGTGTTTCCATGTTTTTACAGCTCCATTCCCAGTGATTCCTCATTCCCTGGCTTCCCACAGGATTGGGAAGCGAAGTCTGGGCAGAGTTTCCATTCCTTCGGTTAAGGAAGGAAAACTGGAAGGAACAGGGAAGGAGCGGAAGGAGGGAGGGTTGTGTTAACACCAATTAATAATGAATAACCCGCTAATGAGCGTTAATTAATTAATAATAACATGTGCTCGAGCAATCGATTCCCGATGAATGGCCCTGAGCTGCCAGGAGTTCCCAGCTAGGGAATTCTCCTGGATTTCCCCGGCTCTGGGGATGGGAACCAGCCTGGCATGGACAGGGATGATCCCATTTTTCCAGCTCAGGAATTCTGGATTTCCCTGCTCTGGAGCCCGGGCATGGACTGGGATGATCCCATTTTTCCAGCTCAGGAATTCTGGATTTCCCTGGCTCTGGAGTTGGGAACCAGCCAGGCATCATGGGGATGATCCCATTTTTCCATAGGAATGGGGCTGGAAAATGATGGGAAGCATCTCCCCCTTCTCAGTGCATCCTAAACCCTTCCAGCTCTGCCTCGCTCCATGATTTTCCTTAATCCCCTGTGGAAAACCCTGCTGGAGACTTTTCCCTTTATTTTGGAGCAGTTTTAGGTGTTTTTCCCTGTGTGATCCCACCTGGAGCAGGATCCCACCTGGAGCAGGATCCCACCTGTGCATCCCATTGAGCTCCACAGCTATTAAATCATGACAAAATTACCCCCCTGTGGAAAACCCTGCTGGAGACTTTTCCCTTTATTTTGGAGCAGTTTTAGATTCCACCTGGAGCAGGATCCCACCTGGAGCAGGATCCCACCTGTGCATCCCATTGCCCCCAGCCCCACCCAGGGTGCAGCGATGGCGCCGGAGCTTTAATCAGCATCTCTTATCAAAACCACTTAATTTGCCTCATTAAAACCCTCCCGTTGGATTCGCGGGATCCAGGAAATGAACTGCAGCACCTGAGTGTCACCTTTGATTGGGAGAGGTTATAAATAATTCATGGAATGGCCGAGCTTCCCATGGAAAAGCTGATGGCATGCTGAGGAATTGGGATCCCGAGGTTGCTCCGGGGTGGGGATGGGGCTGGGGGGTCCAAGGGGGTCCTGAGCACTGAGGGGTCCAGGGAAATCCCATGGGAATTGGGGTGGGTCTGCTTGAGGGGCTGGATGTCCCCCAGGAAAGGCTGGAGGGGGTTGGGAAGAGGGAGGAGGAGGAAGATGAGGAGGGAAAGGGAAAGGGAAAGGGAAACAAGGAAGATGACCTATGGCTGTGTACTGGTTTGTAATGGGAGGATTGGAGCCAGCTGTGAAAATCTCCATGAAAATAAAGCCCAGTTCTCCATCTGGAATTCAGAGGGGCTGGAAAGGGCGTTTATAAAGAGAATTAAAAACAAAAGTGAGGATGAAACAGCCGGAATTCGGGGGTTTGCTGAGCAAGGCGGGGAGGGACCTTTGGGCAGGGAAGGATCCGGCGCTGCTGTGGCACTGGAACATACTGGGAGCACTGGGGGCTCTGTGTGGGAACGGGAGGGCTCAGGGGTGGGGGGATCTGCATCCCTGTGAATGTGCATTGTCCATCCCATGGGGTGGGATCTGCATCCCTGGGGGATTTGGGATGTCCATCCTGGGGGATTCGGGATGTCCATCTCTGGGGATTTGGGATGTCCGTCCTGAGGGATTCAGGATGTCCATCCTGTGGGATTCGGGATGTCCATCCTGTGGGATTTGGGATGTCCATCCTGGGGGATTCAGGATGTCTATCCAGAGGGATTTGGGATGTCCATCCTGTGGGATTTGGGATGTCCATCCAGAGGGATTTGGGATGTCCATCCCTGAAGAAGCACACCCAGCTGAGCGCCCCAGGCCATTCCCGCTCCAGCCGCCCTGCAAGTGCATCCCGGGGGATGAGTGGGGCGGAGCCGCTGCTCGAGCGGGCTTTGGGGTCCCGGGGCTGCGGCCGCGGGGATCCCGCTGCCCGGGCACCGCCGCTCCGGTGGGCTCGCACTGCCCTCCAGTGGGCGCATCCAGCGCTTCCAGCTGTCCCCTGCCACCTCCCGGCTGTCCCCTGCCACCCTCAGCTGTCCCCTGCCACCCCCCAGCTGTCCCCTGCCACCCCCTAGCTTGCCCCCTCCCCAGCTCCGGGTGCGCTGAGCTCTGGGGGTCTCAGCTGTGGTGGGGTAAAGTCCTGCTGGGGGATTTGGGGCGTCAGCTGTCCCCTGCCACCCCCCAGCTGTGCCCCCTCCCCAGCCCCGGGTGCGCTGAGCTCTGGGGGTCTCAGCTGTGGTGGGGTAAAGTCCTGCTGGGGGATTTGGGGCGTCCCCTCCTCCTCTCCCCCGCTGCCGCTCACTGCAGGTTCCTCTTCTTGGCCACCTTGAGGGCCACGTTGTCGTAGTCGCAGTGGCCCAGCCACTCCTTGCCCTGCAGCAGGAAGGGCCTCTTGGGGACGGCGTAGTCGTCGCGCTGGGCGTTGTAGGGACACCCGAGCCCGGGGGGCTCCTCGGGGGCCGCCTGCAGCCTCCAGGCCTCCCCCTTCACCTCCTCGGGCTCGTCGTACAGCGAGAGGCCCGAGAGACCCTCGGGCTCGTCGTAGATGTGCTCGGGTTTGGGGGCCGTGGGGCGGCCGGGGGGCTGCTGAGCAACGCCTGCATCCCTGGGGACACTCGGCGGCTCGGGGAACCCCTCCTGGGGACAGCCCAGGCCACCGAACTGGCGCGCCAGGAAGGACTTGGCGATGGTGTCAAAGGGGACGGCGTACTCGGACTCCACCCTGGCACCGTCCGGCCTCCGGCCCTTGTCGGGCGGCGCGGCCGCGTTCCCGCGGCGCAGGGAGTCGTGGGGCTCGGCGTAGGGACAATCCGCACCCCGTGACAGCTGGAACGGCCCCGAGGCCTCCGCAGCCCCGGGGGGCATCACCGGCCTGCCCTTGGCCCCTTTCCCCTCCCCTTTGGGGGGGCACTTGGGCTCCTCGTGGCCCTGTGCCCGGCCGGGCGTCCTGGCGTGCTCAAGCGGCCGCGGGGCTTCGTCCGCGGGGCCCCCCCGGCACGGCTCCTCGGCGCCGCGGCCCCGCTGGACCTCGATGGCCGCCTCGATGGCCTGGAAGATCTCGTTGCCCTGCCTGGTGTCGAACTCGAAGTTGCCCTCTCCGGACGCACAGCGCCGGCCGGCCTCGAAGGAGAAGGTCACCTGCGGAGGGCAGGGGTCAGTGCCAGGCCCCAGTCGCGTCCGGCCCGGCCTCGCCGCTGCGCACTGACCTTGTCGCGGCCGAAGCGGCGCAGGAAGCGGTAGGGCCAGCTGGCCAGCAGCTCCTGGCTCTGAGGGTGCCACAGCTCCAGCGCCTCCTCGCCCGCCCGCAGGATGCAGCGGCCCCGGAGCCGGCAGCGCTGTGATGATGGTGTCACCCTCACTGTCACCTCAAACGCCTGCTCCAGGCCGGCTGGGGATGGACACAGCATTGGACACAGGTCCCACACCGCAGAGGGGCTGTGAGTGACCCCCCCAGGCCAGAGCCCGGGACACAGCTGGTGCTGGACACGTGTCCCACCCCTCAGAGTGACCCCCAAGCCAAGATAGATGGGTCCAGGCCAGCTGGGGTGGACATGGTGGACACTGGACACATGTCCACCCCACAGAGGATCTGTGAGTGACCCCCAAGCCAGGACAGCCTGCTCCAGGCCAGCTTGGGTGGACATGGTGGACACTGGACACATGTCCCAACCCACAGAGGGGTTGTGAGTGACCCCCAAGCCAGGACAGCCTGCTCCAGGTTAGCTGGGGTGGACATGGTGGACACTGGACACATGTCCCACCCTGAAGAAGGGCTGTGAGTGACCCCCAAGCCAGGACAGCCTGCTCCAGGCCAACTGGGGTGGACACAGCATTGGACACATGTCCCACCCTGCAGAAGGGCCGTGGATGACCCCTCCAGCCAGGCCAGCAGTGTCCGGCTGATGAGAGCAGGACAGGATGACCACTGCTGATAGCGCAGCCGAGCCGGCCCCACAAACAGGAAGAGGCTTTTGGGGAGGAGATTTCCCCACCCCGCACAGCCCCAGCCCTGCTCCCACCTTTGCCCCGCGAGCTGTACAGGGAATTTTCCTCCATGGAGAACTCGCCCTCGGTGCCCTCCTTGGCCGCTCCCGGCTCCTCCCGGCTCCTCTGCCCCGGGGGAAGAGCAGCAGGTGAGGACTGCCATCCATCCCAGTGGATCCCATCCATCCCTGTGCATCCCATCCATTCTAGCAGATCCCATCCATCCCAGTGGATCCCATCTATCCCAGCAGATCACATCCAGCCTGGCGGATCCCATCCACCCCAGTGGATCACATCCATCTCAGTGGATCCCACCCATCCCAGGGGATTCCACCCATCTCGGTGGATCCCATCCAACCTGGTGGATCCCATCCAACTCAGTGGATCCCACCCAACTCAGTGGATCCCGTCCATCCCAGTGGGTCCCACCCATGCTGGTGGATCCCATCCATTCTAGCAGATCCCACCCACCCTGGTGGATCCCATCCATCTCAGTGGATCCCACCCATCCCAGGGGATTCCACCCATCTCGGTGGATCCCATCCAACCTGGTGGATCCCATCCATCTTAGCAGATCCCACCCACCCTGGTGGATCCCATCCATCCTGGTGGATCCCACCCACCCTGGTGGATCCCACCTTTCCCAGCCGCTATCCAGGCACGTACCGGGAATGCCAGCTCGCACAGCCGCTGGATCCATTCGGCCGCCTCGGAGCCGTCGGCGGCCAGCAGGAAGCGCCGCTCCGTGGTCTCCAGCAGGAAGGGGACGGTGTCCTTGGGACAGGTGGCATCGCCACCCACCTCGGCCACGTGGACGCAGTCGCTGAGCCGGACCAGGCGCCGGCTGCCCTCGGCCTTGCGCGGCCGCTCGGGGCCCTCCAGCAGCTCCAGGCGCGCCGTGGAGCAGGAGCTCTCCCGGTACAGCACGGCCCAGAACTTCTTCCACTTCTGCCGAGGGGACAACCAGGGCGTCTGCCTTCCCAAAAGGGTTTGACCTTCTCTGAGGTTCAACCTTCCCTGGGGTTCTACCTTCCCAACAGAGTTCAACCTTCCATGGGGTTTTTACCTTCCCAACAGGGTTCAGCTTTCCCTGGAGTTTTTGTCTTTCCTGGGGTTTTTACCTTCTCAAAAGGGTTCAACCTTCCCTGGGGTTTTTACCTTCCCAGGGTTTTTAACTTTCCTGCGGTTTTTACCTTCCCATGATTTTTTACCTTCCCAGGGGTTTTTACCTGTCCAGGAATTTTTACCTCCCCTGGGGTTTTTACCTTCCAGTAGGGTTTTTACCTTCTCAGGAGGATTTTACCTCCCCAGGGTTTTTTTTACCTTCCCAGGAGGTTTTACCTTCACAGGGGTTTTTACCTTTCCAGGACTTTTTATCTTTCTAGGAGTTTTTACCTTTCCAGAAGGGTTTTACCTTCAGGAGTTTTTACCTTCAGGAGTTTTTACCTTCCCGGGAGTTTTCACCTTCCCAGGAGTTTTTATCCCCTTGGGATCATGCTTAGGATCACCTAAAGCAGGACAGGGGTGCAAAGCCCTGCAGGGTCTGGCTGAAGGTGGGGGTGACAAAAACTGGGATTTAAATCACCCCTGACATGCAGCAAGGCCTTTCCACCCCCAGCCTCACCCACCCCATTCCCCCACAAGCCGTGAACAACTTCCAGCTCCTTCTTCCTCCCATTTTCCCTAAAAACCCCACATTTTCATCTCTCTGGCTCTGCCCCAAAAGCAGCAGCAGTTCCGGGCTCGGGGAGCGTGGGAGGCCCCAGGGCAGAGGGGAAGTGGGGGCAGGGAAAGTAGCCCCAAAACGAGCACATCCCTCCCAGCAGCTCCGGGGCCTGCAGCTCTCTTTTCCTGGGATGAGGTTTTGGGATCCCTGCCCTTGGATCCTTTTGGGATCCCTTGTGGATCCGCTGGGGATGGGATCTGTGGGGAGGAAGAGAAGGGAGAAGGGCAGGAGGGGCCCCTCAGCTCCTTCCCTCAGCTCCTTCCCCCTCGCAGCCATTGCCCAACCTCAGCCTTTATCGGCAGCGGAAGCCACGCAGCTTTGGGCACCCCCAGCTAGAACGGTCCCCAAATGTGGCTTTGAGGGTCCTTTCTGTCACCCCCAGCTGGAACTGTCCCCAAACGCAGCTTTGGGCTCACATCCCTCACCCCTCTTTGGGGCTGTAGTTGTCACCCAGTGTGTTTTTGGGGTCACATCTGTCACCCCCTTACTCTGCATAGCCTCTCTTGGGGGGTCTGTCCAAAATGTCCCCAGCACCTCCTGTCCCCCTGTGGTGGCGACGGGACAGCCGAGCATCAACAGGGGTGGGATCACCCCGTTCCCATGGGATTCACCCCATGGCTGTGGGATTCACCCGTTCCCATGGGATTCACCCCATTGCTGTGGGATTCACCCCATTCACACAGGATTCACCCCGTTCCCATGGGATTCACCCCATTCCCATGGGGTTCACCCCACTGCTGTGGGATTCAGCCCGTTCCCATGGGATTCACCCCATTGCTGTGGGATCACCCCGTTCCCAGGGGATTCACCCCATTGCTGTGGGATCACCCCGTTCCCAGGGGATTCACCCCATTGCTGTGGGATTCACCCCATTCACACAGGATTCACCCCGTTCCCATGGGATTCTCCCCCTCCAGGACCCCCAGTCCCGCTGACCTTCCCGAAGGTTTGCTGCAGCTGCAGGTACATCCCGCCCTGCTTCACCACCGCCTCCTCCATCGCGGCCTGTCCGAGTGTCCTGAGTGTGCTGAGTGTCCCCAAGTGTCCCGAGTGTCCTGAGTGTCCTGAATGTCCGGTGTGTCTGGAGTTTCCTGAATGTCCGGAGTGTCCAGAGAGTCCCAAGTGTCCGCAGTGTTAGCAGTGTGCTGAGTGTCCCCAAGTCTCCGGAGTGTCCTGAGTGTCCGGTGTGTCCGAGTGTCCTGAGTGTCCCGAGTGCCCAGTGTGTCCGAGTGTCCCGAGTGTCCTGAGTGTCCGGTGTGTCCGAGTGTCCTGAGTGTCTGGTATGTCCGCAGTGTCCGGCGTGTCTGGAGTTTCCTGAGTGTCCGAAGTGTCCAGAGAGTCCCGAGTGTCCACAGTGTCCGCAGTGTGCTGAGTGTCCCCAAATGTCCCAAGTGTCTGGAGTGCCCGGTGTGTCCTGAGTGCCCGCAGTGCCTGCAGTGTCCCGGGGGTCCCGGGGTCCCAGGGCTGTGTCCCCCCGCGGTGTCACCGGGGCGGGCTCAGCCCGTGCCGCGCTCAGCCGGGCTCTGCCGCTTCCTGCGCACTGCGACTTCCTGTGGGTCCCCACGGGGACACGTGGGTGGCGCTGGGGACACGGGGTGTGGCACAACAGACACGTGGGTGTGACACCGGGGACACGGGGTGTGGCACAGCCGGACATCTGGGTGGGCATGGCGGACAGGTGGGCATGGCGCTGTCGGTGTGGCACTGCCAGACATCTGGGTGTGGCACTGGGGACACATGGGTGTGGCACGGTGGGTGTGGCACTGGGGACACATCCCTGTGCCACCCTGTGGTGCTGGTGTGCACTGGGCACAGGTGGAGGACACTGAGCACTGGGCAGCACACTGGGGGCACTGGGAGCACTGGGTGCAGGGGTGTGGCAGCAGGGCACTGCTGGCACTGCTGGCACTGGTGGCACTGGGGGCACTGGTCATACTGGTGTGTTAGGTCACACTGGTGACACCGGTGGCACTGGTTATACTGGCGTCAGTGTTCACACTGGAGACATCGGAGGCACCAGTGGCACTGGGTGTGCTGGTGCCAGTGCTCACAGCGGTGTCCCCGCTGTCCCCGCGCGGTCCCCGCTGTTCCCGGGGTGCGCGGTCCCTTTAAGGCCGTGTCAACAAACCCGGCTCGCGCCCCTCCCTCCTCCCCCCGTGCCGCGCCTCCGCCGTGACGTCAGACGCAGAGCGCCGCGCGCGCGCGGTGGCGGCCAGGCCCGGCGCGGCCCAGGCGCGCAGGCCGCGCTCCCCCCGTGTCCCCCTGCGGGGCTCGGGGGCCTCTCCGAGGGTCCCCCCGGCCCCATCGCGTGCCCGCCGTGTCCCGGGGTCCCCCCGCGGGGTCCCTCCGCTCTCTCCTCGCCGCCGCTCGGCGCTCCCGGTGGGGAAATGCTCGGCACGGGCTCGCTCACGTCCCGGTCCTCCTCTCGACAGCACCGGCGGGTCCCCGCTGCCACCCCCGTGCCTGCTGCCGGCACCCGGGGCTCTGGGGATCCGCTGCCTGATCCGGGCCGGGGGGATCTGCGGCATTCCCGGCCCGCTTCGGCTCCGTTCCCAGCCCGGTTCCGTTCATTTTCCGCTCTGGTTTGGGTGCCTTTCCCGGCCCGCTTCGGCTCCGTTCCCAGCCCGGTTCTGTTCCTTTCCCAGCCCTGTTTGGGTTCCTTTCCCGGCCGGGTTTGGGTTCCTTTCCCTCCGGGTTTGGGTTCCTTTCCCGGCCGGGTTTGGGTTCCTTTCCCAGCCGGGTTTGGGTTCCTTTCCCGGCCGGGTTTGGGTTCCTTTCCCAGCCGTGTGGACACTCAGGGTCGGGAAAGGTTTCCCTTGGGTGTTTCAGGGGAATCCCAGAGTGGAAGAGTTTGTGGGGTAGAAGCCAGGAGGAAAATCGGGGTGGAAAAGTTCCAGGGTGGCGTGGAGGGACCCAGACCCCCGGGAAAGGGACCCAGACCCCCGGGAAAGGGAATCAGACCTCTGGGAAAGGGACCGGGTGTTTCAGGGGAATCCCAGAGTGGAAGAGTTTGTGGGGTAGAAGCCAGGAGGAAAATCGGGGTGGAAAAGTTCCAGGGTGGCGTGGAGGGACAAAACCCCCGGGAAAGGGACCCAGACCCCCAGGAAAGGGAATCAGACCTCTGGGAAAGGGAATCAGACCCCTGGGAAAGGGACCCAAACCTCTGGGAAAGGGAATCAGACCTCTGGGAAAGAGCCCAAAGCTCTGAAAAGGACCTAAACCCCTCAGGAAAGGAACAAAACCCTCTGAGTGGGCTGAAACTCCCAATGAAGGAACCCAAAACCTTTGGAAAATCTCTTGAAGGGACCCCAAAGCCCCTGAGAGTTTCCCAGACCCTCTGAAATCAACCCCAAAACCTCTGAGAGGACCCTAAACCCCCTAAGAGTGACTCAAAACCTCTGAAATTGACCCCAAAACCTCTGACAGGGACCCAAACCCCCAGAAATCGACCCCAAACATCCTAAAATTGACCCCAAACTTTGTAAAATTCACCCCAAACACCTTGAGATTGACCCCAAACACCCTAAAATTGACCACCCCCTAAGAGTGACTCAAAACCTCTGAAATTGACCCCAAAACCTCTGACAGGGACCCAAACCCCCAGAAATCGACCCCAAACATCCTAAAATTGACCCCAAACTTTGTAAAATTGACCCCAAACACCCTAAAATTGACCCCAAACACCCTAAAATTGACCCCAAACCCCCAGAAGCAGCAAAACCCAAAGCCAGGCGCAGCTTGGACAATTTTCCCTGAGGTTTTTTTGGAATAAAGCAGAATTCCCAGGAGTTATTTATTATCCCTGGAACTTTGGGAATAAATCAATCCCGAGCAGTTCATTAACTCAGCAGAGAGCTGGGAACGTTCCTGGGAATTCTGATCCCAAGGGAAAAGAGGGATTGCTGCATTATTAACCAGGATTTTCATGGGGAAAATCTGGATTTTGCTCGGAATTCTGCTCCAGATCCGAGTTTTCCGTGGTAAATCTGGGATTGTGGGAGGTGGAAGTCGGAAAAGTTGGAGCTGGAGGGGTTGGGAACGCTGAGCTCAGCGGGGTTAAAGTTCAACAGCAGAACTTTGGGAGATGTTCCAGGCTGAGAAGGGATTTGGGAACTCAGAGCAGCTCCAGGAGGGTTTGGAGTGCTGGGAAAAGGGGCTGGATTGGGATTTTGGGCAGAAATCCTTCTGTTATCCCAAGCTGGAATATTTTGGGAATTTCCAAGGATCTGCAGTTTTCTGGGAATTCTGTCTCAGGCAGGAATTCCTGCCCAAAATCCCATTTAGTTTCCCTTTTCCAGGGAGAGATGCCTGGAATTTCATGGAATCCCTGCATCCCAATCCCTCTCCAGCTCTCCTGGAGCCCCTTCAGGCTCTGGAATTTTCCCCTCCAGGCTGAGAAGGGATTTGGGAACTCAGAGCAGCTCCAGGAGGGCTTGGAGTGCTGGGAAAAGGGATTGGGATTTTGGGCAGAAATCCTCCTGTTATCCCAAGCTGGAATATTTGGGAGCTTCCAGGGATCCTCAGATCTCTGGGAATTCCGTCCCAGGCAGGAATTCCTGCCCAAAATCCCGTTTAATTCCCTTTTCCCAGGGAAATCCATCCCTGTCCTCCATCCCAATCCCTCTCCAGCTCTCCTGGAGCCCCTTCAGGCTCTGGAATTTTTCCCCTGGAATTTTTCCCTCCAGGCTGAGAAGGGATTTGGGAACTCAGAGCAGCTCCAGGAGGGTTTGGAGTGCTGGGAAAAGGGGCTGGATTGGGATTTTGGGCAGAAATCCTTCTGTTATCCCAAGCTGGAATATTTGGGAGCTTCCAGGGATCCTCAGATCTCTGGGAATTCTGTCCCAGGCAGGAATTCCTGCCCAAAATCCCATTTCCATCCCCACTTTTCCAGGGGAAATCCCTCTCCAATTCTCCTGGAGCCCCTTCAGGCTCTGGAATTTTTCCCTGGAATTTCCCTTTTCCAGCAGAACATTCCCAGCCTGGCTCCAGAGGGGTTTTTCTGGAATATTCTTTGGGAATATTGGGATTTTTGAGTAGAAATCCCCACTGCAGCAGGCTTTGGGAAGTTGGGAAAATCCCACTGCTGCTTCCTGAGAACTTTGAATTTCCAAAAATTCCCAGAGGAACTTCTGGAGTTGTGGTGGAGCCCAAAAATGTTTTCCATGGATTTTCTTCAGTGGGATGAAGCCTGAAATAATTTTTTATGGATTTTTCCTGACGACCTGGAGCCCAAAAACATTTTTTATGGATTTTACCTGGAGTGATGAAGACAAATCCGATTTTTTAGTTTCTTCAGTGGGATGAAGCCTGAAATAATTTTTTTATGGATTTTTCCTGATGTTCTGGAGCCCAAAAGGATTTTTTATGGATTTTACCTGGAATTATGAAGCCCAAATTAAATTTTAAGGAATTTTTCCTGGTTTGGTGAAGCCCTAAAATATTTTTTATGGATTTTACCTGGTGTGAAGAATCCCCCAAAATTTTTTCTGGAATTTTCCTGCAGTGATGAAGCCCAAATCCAATATTTGAGGGATTTTTACTGGAGTGAAGAGACCCCAAAAAAAAAATTATGGATTTTACCTGGAATGCTGAAGCACAAATCCAATTTTTTTTTATTTTCCTGGAGTGTTGATGCCCAAAAAGATTTTTCCTGGATTTTGCCTGGAATGATGAAGCCCAAATTAATTTTTCATGGATTTTTTTTTCCACTGTGAAGAATTCCCAACCCCTTTTTTTATGGATTTCTACCTGGAACGGCGAAGCCCAAACCTGTTTTTCATGGATTCTGCTTGGTTTTTATCCCAAAAAAATCCAAAATTCTGGGGAATTTTGTACTTGGAGCTGCTTTTTTCACCTTCTTGGAATGAATATTTTGGGATTTTCCAATTTTTTTTTCTCCTTGGAGCAGAGGGGGGAGATAAATCCCTTTTTTTTCCCCTTTGGAAGCAAATTTTTCCCATTTTTCCTTTTAATTCCTGTCCTGAAGTGTTTCCTTCAAGTGGAATTCTGTGGGAATTTCCTGTCTGGGAAATGAGAATTCCCTTTTCCCTTGGATTTGGAAAATGTTGGAATGACTAAAAATGGTTTTTTTTCCATGGGTTTTGTTGGCTGGAAGGAAATTTGGGAGAGGGAGAAGGGACCAGGATGTTCTGGAGGTGGAAATTTGGGGTGATGGGTGAAAACTCCCAAAATTAGAGAAATTATGGATAAAAATTCCTAAATTATGGGAATTCTGTGGAAATTATGGATAAAAACTCCTAAAATTATTGAAATTTGATGGAAATTATGGATGAAAACTTCTGCAATTATGGAAATTTTGTGCAAATTATGGAAAAAACTCCCAAAATTATGGAAATTATGGATAAAAACGGATGAAAACTCCCGAAATTATTGAAATTATGGACAAAAATTCCCAAAATTATGGAAATAATGGAAATTATGGATAAAAACTCCAAAAATTGTGGAAATTATGGATGAAAACTCCCAAAATTATGGAAGTTATTGAAATTATGGATAAAAACTCCTGAAAT